TTCCCCCCATTTTACTTTCTTTTTACTTTTCTTAATGTGTTATTATTACCATCTTGTTTGATAATAAGATTGTGTGTATGTGTAGTAAATTAGTTACAGTATATATACTTATATGTAGAAGTATATATGAATTGCTATTCTGATAATAAGATTGTGCGTGTATGTGTAGTAAACAACTTGATACATGATTTGTTGCATTCCTTGATGCATTTAGTATTTCTTCTTGCTTTGAGTGTGGTATACAAATTGTTATTATTATTTTTCTTTATCCTTAAGAACATAAGGAATTCATCTTCCAGATATATTTTTCTTTGATGGTGTGTGCATTATTATTTGTCTTAGCTTGTACTACTATTTTGATTTCTCCTTATTTGATTGTGTTTATGCCTTTTTTGATTTAGGTACTTTGTTATCTTGACTCACCCTTTGCCGGTACCTAAGGCCGGATAAATAAAAATAAAAAAAAGAGAAAATTAGAATAGGAACATGGAATATTGGGAAACATCCTCAAATTTATCATAATCACCAGGCTTACAATTAGCATTGAAAGAAATTTAATCAAAATATCTCTGCAACCAAACACACTGGGGGCATAAACTGATCTTCAACATGACTCATGTGAAGAAATCATATAAAGTATGTATGGAAAAAGTGATGATAATTAAAACAATTTTCTTAATCTTCTTCAATATATATATATATATATATATATATTAAACAAAACTGAGCAAAAAGCAGATTGGAAAAATTAAATTGACGTAGAGGACACATGACTACTACAAAAAATAATTAAGATGACATCATCCAAAATATCAAATAATTTCAGAAGTATAAGTGATAAACATTACAAGAAACTTTTGGGAAAATTGACAATAAAAAACAACATACCAGTACAACACATTTATTTTGTGTTTTTTCCTAGTGTCAGTATTGAAATGAAAACAGAATACTGCAAATGAGGAAAATAAGTAGGAAATATCAGTACAGTGAAGAAATGCAAAAAATCAGAAGAAAAGTGAAGAGAAGGTGACTATAGAACTGAGAACCTTTCTTTAGTTTAGAATGAAAAAAGTTGTTTAGTTATTGATAGCAATACTACTTTTTTATGGACCTACTGATGTTTAACATTACATTAATCTTAATTTCAGGAAGAAATGAAAGAAAAGTTTTCACAAGTTTCTCTCAATTCTGATGGTACCAGTCCTATCATAAATGATGTTGAGATAGTGGAAAACCAATTAGGTATCAGAAAAGGATATCTTCGTGAGTTCGGAAATGGTTTTGTAGCTCCGAGCCATCAACGTGCATCCTCATCTTTTGAAGAGGCTTCTAGAAAAAGGGCGAAAAATGTTAAAGAAAAAAATGCACAACTTATGGAGAAAGTTACAAGTTTGGAGGAGAAGTTGGATATAATTTAGAAGCTACTCGAGCAGCAACAGCATCTCCTTGACCAGCAATAATAGCAGCAACAACAGCTCCTTGAGCAGCAACAATAGCACCAACAACTGCTACCACCACGCTTCCACCAATATCAACATTCTCCATCACATTCCCAACAGCAGCATGCCTCGCCAAGCTGGTATCAACAGCCGCCAACAATCACCTGAATGAACTATAAAGATAATTATTTTGGTAGATTTATTTTGGAGCTTTTTGATGGCTAGCTAGCTGATTTTTAACTATTTTGGTACGTTTTTAGCCTGCATTTTCATGATTGCATTCAGTTTAAAATGATGTTTTAATTTTTAAGGATGTTTGGAACCATTTGATGTTAAAGCAGCCAGTACATACTTTTAGTTCTTGCTTACAAAACTGGAGAATTTGTAGTTTCATCATGAGATTAAGAGCTTGTTTGTTGGCACCGTATTGTGGTGATGATCAATTTTTTTCTTTCTAGAATGATATTGTGGATGTATGTACTTTTTAGTTCTGGATGTTTTGGTTTAATAAGTTTTTCTAGAACACAAATCCAGTAGAGTAAAAACCAAAAAAAAAAAAAATAATAATAATAATAATAATAAAAAATAATAATAATAAAAAATAATAATAATACAAATTTAATAATAATAATAATAATAAACCATATTAGGGAAAATACAAATTGTGTCTAATAAGTATTGTATTAGGGACAGACAACAAACCCGTCTATAATATATCGACTATTAGGGACAGTAAATACCGTCCCCAATAATAAATGAAAGGGGACGGTCTTATTTGGGACAGTAAGTCCGTCCCTAATAAATCGACCTATTTGTGACAATAGGTCCGTCCCTAATAAATCAAACGTGGACGGTCTTACGTCCTTAAAGGTTAAACTTTTTAAGGACGGACAACTTTTACCGTCCCTAAAAATCTTATGGGATACAACTATTAGGGACGGTCGAATTCGATCATTAGGGACGGTCTTAGGGCTTTTAGGGACAGATTCAACCATCACTAAAAACCTAATTTCTTGTAGTGTCTTTTGGATAAGGACAAGGGGTTTGATCCATATAAGTAAGGTGAGATCGATCAATGTGAGATCGATTGAAAAAATTCTTAATTGATCGAAGTTTACAGATTTTCACCACTTTACTTCCACTTTGCTCCATTCTTCCATTCAGCTTGAGATTGCTTCTTTTATGCTCTAATTTGACTGAATTAGCTTATTTTGGGAATAAGCACCTGAAAAGGGCAATAACATGAAATTAGTCTTAAACGGGAAAGTAAAATAGATAAAGGTCCTAGAATATCTAAGCTTAAGGGGTTTATATGCGTACTATTCAGCGCTCATCATCACCCCTTTATTATTAATATTTTTTTCAGGACACGAAAATGAAGTGGCGGACGACAATCTACCACAAGTGTAGTCGGGTTGATGGACTTGGACTCTTTTGTGCTCGATGTGTATATTACCTATATTTTGTGGTAAATAGTATTAGGGGTCATTTTGTATCTATTACATGGGTAGAAATGGTTCTAAGACCATCCTCTTGTAACTTATGGTCTGATTATGATTTCGAAATCCATGTAAGGCCTTAAGGCCATATTTTAATGTATGATCGACTTGTTTAACTTTAATGGCGTAATGGACTAATGTATGATTTTACTTGAATGTAATATTTAACTTAGAATAAGGTCACCATGGGACTTATGGGGTGCCTAAGTGCACAAATGTTTAACCTTAGGCTTTTCTGGGCACATTTTTTTGGGTTATGATTTTCTAGAATCGGTTCAGCATTTGTGGAACTGATTTAATGGGGTGTTTTGGTTCACGTTAGGGCATTCTACCCATGTGGAACTGGTACCAAGATTTGGGAACCTGTTTAAGTCCTCTAGTGGAGTTTTTGCCCTTCATAGTTTTGTTAGCTTTGATCACCCGGCTTCGTTTGGTCATAACTTCTTTGCCAAACCCAAATTAGGTCATTCTTGAGTGCATTTTCAAGAATTTTGAATTAGCTTTCCAATAAGACTAATTTTATCTTCAAATTCCCTTCATGTTAAGTGTAAGGGTTGTTTTAGTGGGACAGTGTCGGAATCTCTCTTGAACCGTGTAAGGGTGCTTTTGGGAGATCATATCTAATGACTGTAAAATCTCATCAAACATCATAAAATGACTAGAATGGTTGTTTTAAACTTCATTTGACTAGTTTGAAGGCAGATTACCCTTTCATATTATAAAATGACCATCTTACCCCTACTGTGTCCTCGTGTTTGGTTAAGGACCCAGTTAGTGATTTGGACCCCCGGTTCGGGTCGTTACAAATTTAGTATCAGAGCAGTGGTTTGAAAACCATTAGGACAATAAGTAGAGGCCTACCTTGAGTTATGTGGGAAGTCATTTGCATTGTTATATGATTATTTGCTAAAGTGTTTTACCAGTTGAGGAAGCATGTTTAATTGTCTACTTGCTTACGTGTTTATGTGTTTACATCTATGCTTATGTTAAGGTGTTTATTGCATATCTTTGCATGCTAAGTGCTATTATAGTATTGTTTTGTGTTGAGTCATTCACGTTTAGACCTTAGTGTCATTGTTGTTGAACCATTTTCTCATTTTATTGTACAATGCCACCGTGAACAGATCCAATGGGAGTTGGATTTAGGCCAACAAGAGGTGATGTTGGTGAAAGCTTTAGCTCTAATCCCATGGAGCAAGTTGATGAGGATACAATTCTTAGGGACTTGATTCCCCTCCTACTGGAATGGACAATGTTAAGGCACCCATTGAAGAGGGTGAAGGTTTGGCTGATCTGGCACTAAACCGCTTGTTACAGAGAGCCTTGAGGGCTACAATTGCTTCTTTCCTGCAACCGGTACCGTAACTGGTAGTTCAGGTAGAGGAGACGACTGCACAGAAACGTCTCAAGTTGATTTCTGGAATTACGAAGTTGATGCCAATGATGTTTGAGGGTGGTGCAGATCCAATGGTAGTGGACGACTACCTTAACCAATTAGAGCCATTTGACCTCTATAGATGTAACGAATGATCATCTGAAAATCATCTTGGTCGCTTACAAATTTTCCAATGACGCCAAGCTTTGGGGGAAGTCGGTTGCTAACCACCACAAGGTTGAGGACATGAGTTGGGATATGTTTAAGGAGTTATTTTATGAAAAGTATTTTCTGATTACCAAGAGGTGGGAGTTAAGAAAACTGTTTGATGATCTTATACAAGGCAACGTGATAGTGACCGAGTACGAAAACAAGTTTACCTCTCTTTCTCGCTTTACTCTTGAGTCAGTGAAAAATGAAGCTGATAAGACTCGAAAGTTTGTCTCTAGCCTTTATTACCAAATAAGGCCATTGATAACAGCACAGTACTTCAAAGTTTATGCGGTGGCAGTGGAAAGAGCACTAATGTTAGAGGCAGAAGCCAAGGATATGAATGCAGGAAGGGAACAGTGGAAGCAAAAGAGGAATGTAGGATCATCTTTAGAGGGGCAGTCATGGAAAAAGAATAAGGGTGGTTCATCTTAGTTTTAGGGACAGCAGTCTGCACTATCCACTCCTACTACCCTTATGCCAATAGGGTCTACTAGAATTGGTGTCGTCTGCTTTCGCTGTTATCAGCCGGGTCACTACAAGGCAGAATGTCCACAGACATCCGTTAATTCAGGTGTATGTTTTGGTTTGGCCAATAGGGCCATAGGGTTAAGGATTGTCCAAATCAGGGAACAGGCACTGGTAATAGCAGAGGGTCACAACAAAGGCCGACACAGTTAGCTACAGTTCAGTCAGGTTTTAGACCACCGCTGCCACCATAGCCTGCCATGTCTTCTTAAGGTTCACGACCAACTAGGAGAGATACTCCTACTATGTCAGCACAACAGTCAGGTGTTCAGGTTAGCAGTTCTCAAGCACAGGCACCATAGGGACGTGTCTATGCAGTTGTCCAGGCCGACACGTCTTCTGGTCTATTAGTTCTCTGAGGTATTTTTCCAATGTTTGGTTCTTGGGCTTGTGTTTTGTTTGACTCTGGTGTATCTCATTCGTTCATATCATCATCATTCACATTTGCATCAGGGTTAGAGGTCAGTTGCATAGATCATGCGTTATGTGTCGATATGCCAGTTGGGGTTTTAGTGTCCTTGAGTAGAGTTGTGAGGCATTGTTCTATCGTGATAGCTGGACAGACTTTTGTGTTTGACCTTATCCTCCTTGAGATGACTAACTTTGATGTTATTCTCAAGATGGATTGGTTAGCTTCATTTCGTGCTATGATTGATTGTTTCAAAGGAAGAGTCACAGTTTGCACTCCCAAGGGGGATTGTTTCTTTTTCGTGGGAGATTAGAGTGATTCCCATTCTCCATCATTTTACAGGGTTCGTAGACGAGGTTGTGGTGACTACTTCTTCGCTAGTTTATTATCTAAAGAAGATGATGTTGTGGAAAATGATTATCCGGCGGTTGTTCGTGACTTTTTGGATGTTTTTCTGGAAGACTTGACGGAATTACCTCCTAGAAGGGAGATAGAGTTTACTATTGATTTTATGCCCGGTACCGCGCCAATTTCTATGGCACTGTATCGTATGGCACCAGTGGAATTAGAAGAATTAAATAAACAGCTTGATGATTTAAAGATGAAGGGTTTTATCTGACCAAGTGTGTCACCATGGGGTGCACCAGTCTTGTTTGCCAAGAAGAAAGATGGTTCTTCAAGGTTGTGCATTGATTACTGGAGGTTGAATCATGCAACATCAAGAACAAGTATCCTTTGCCAAGGATAAATGATTTGTTTGACCAGTTGAGGGGAGCTTGCTATTTTTTGAAGATAGACTTAAGATCAGGCTATTATCAGTTACGAGTTAGGGATGATAATATCCCAAAGACGTCTTTCCGTATACAGTATGAACATTATGAGTTCCTTGTTATGCCTTTTGGTTTGACTAATGAGCCAGCGACATTCATAGACCTAATGAACCGTGTCTTCCATGATTACTTAGACCAATTCGTGGTCATTTTCGTGGATGACATCCTTGTGTATTCATGATCTTGGGAAAAATACGAGATTCATCTAAGTATCGTGTTACAGATTTTGCGAAAGCACCGATTGTATGCTAAATATGAGAAGTGTGAATTTTGGCTACAAAATGTGAAGTTTTTGGGGCATGTTGTCTCGGAAAGTGGAGTGTCAGTGGATCCATCAAAGATTGAAGCAGTTTTAAATTGGGAACACTTTAAGAATGTTTTTGAAATCCGAAGTTTTTTTGGCCTAGCGGGGTACTATCGAAGATTTGTGAAGGATTGTTCCCGTTTGGCAGCGCCTATAACTCGCTTGACCCAGAAGGGGACCAAGTTTACATGGAATGAAGCCTGTGAGTCATCCTTTCAAGAGTTGAAGACAAGGTTGACTACGACTCTAGTGTTAGTGCTACTTGAGCATGGCTTGGGTTATATGATCTTTTGTGTTGCTTCAGGTGACGGATTGGGTTGTGTATTAATGCAGGATGGTAGAGTAGTGGCTTATGGGTCTCGACAATTAAAGACTCACGAGCATAACTACCTTACACATGACTTGGAGTTAGCGGAAGTTGTATTTGCCTTGAAATATTGGAGACACTATTTGTATGGTGAGAGATTCGAGGTGTTCTCGGATCACAAGAGTCTCAAGTACCTTTTTCTCCAAAAGGACTTGAACAACAAACAAAGACGATGGGTTGAGTTTCTGAAGGATTATAATTTTGACTTGTAGTATCATTCGAGCAAAGCAAATGTTGTAGCTGATGCCTTAAGTCGGAAATCTCGTGCGATTTTGGCTGGATTAGCCATTTGGAAATGGAAGATGCTTGAGGATTTGGCAAAGATGGGATTGTATTATTTTGACGATGATAATGGTAGTGAGTTGGCATTCTTGTTTGGTCTTGTAACTCAACCTACCCTTGTTGGGAGAGTGATTGAGTCACAGAGACAGGATTTGGATTTGGATGCCATTTACACTTTGATCTCTAGTGGAGAGACAGTGAAAGACTAGACCTTATATACAGATGGAGGTTTACGTTTTAGGGGTTTATTGGTTATTCCCACAGTTTGTCGTGAGGACGTCTTACGGGAATTTCATACCTCCCGCTTTCCAGTTCATCCAGGTGGTATCAAGATGTATCAGAATTTGAGATGTCAGAATTGGTGGAGTGGGATGAAGAAGGATGTTGCACAGTTTGTGGCTAGATGCCTTACCTGTCAGCAGGTGAAGGTCGAGCACCAGAGACTAGCTGGTTTGTTGCCGGTAACGTAGTGGAAATGGGAGCATATTGTTATGGATTTTGTGGCAGGTTTTCCAAGGTTACAAAGGGGAAATGAGGCCGTATGGGTCATTATTGATAGATTGACCAAGATGGCTCACTTTCTACCTATCAAGGCAATAGATGACGCATAGATGCTTGGTGTACTGTATGTGAAAGAGATTATGAGGTTGCATAAAGTTCCAGTGTCTATTGTCTTGGATAGGGATGCCAAGTTTACTTCAAAGTTCTGGGAAGGACTTCACGCAGTGTTTGGCTCATCATTGCACCTTAGTACGACATTTAATCCATAGACGGATAGCCAGTCAGGGCGTGTCATCCAGATTTTAGAGGATATGCTTCAGGCCTGTGTACTTAATTTGGGAGGTAGTTGGGAGGATCACCTAACGAGGGCCGTTCTTATAAGCCAAAATAATGTAGTGAATGTGCGGTTCAAGAAAAGCCTTTCAGGTCAAGTTTAAATTTATAAAAACCACTACCAACACTACTACTAAAGTAGCAAGAGTGAGTAGGGATTGTTCCAAGGGATTATACGTGTTGGAATTTAAATTCAACTCTAGCGTATCAAAAGATTGTAAAGCGAGATATTGGTTTGATTACACTAAGGTACAATGAAATTAAAAAGTAAGTAAAGTAAACTAATGAGAGATAGGGATTTAAGAGATATGAAGAGAGGACCTAGGGTGTTGGAATCACCACTAAGCTCGTGTAATTAACCACTTGCTTTCCATTAATGGGGAATACATTGTTGTGAATAAAATGTGACTACCAATTGCAATATTAAGCATGGACCATCTAATTTATGTATAAATTATCTACCTAAACTAAGTGTAGCACAACCCATCAATTTTAAGCATGACCCATCTAAGTAGCAACAATTATAGCACACATTAATCTAGAGAATCATGGAATTTGCAATAATAAGCCATGGAATATATAAGCAAGCATAGATTGTCTACCTACCTATAAGCATGAATTAAATTGTAGAACAACCCATCAAGCACAAGTATAAACCATCAAATTAATTGACAAACCTATTCAATAAAAACCCATGCTTACCCATCACTAGATTTTCAATCAACCACACATAGACATGCAATTAATATAGAAAAACTAGTTTAGAGATTAATTCCCAAATAATCACACATAAGACAACATGTAATCAAATAGAGAATCAATAGAAAGAATTAATCTATATGAATCATGTAAGAAATAATTCCTAATTTAATCACACATAGACATGTAAATAAACTAGAGAATTAATAGGAAGAATTAAACCATAGAATCATAGAAATATACCAAGATTCATGAAATTCACAAGGTTAGAACACTAATCACAACAATATATATAAATCCCCCAAAATAGAAATACAAGGGTTTAGATTACACAAGACTTAGGGCTCATCCAAGCCCTAAGTATAGATCTAGCCAATCATGGAGGAGGTGGATGTGGTCATGGAATCAAGCTCCAAATATGGCTCCATCTTCTTCTTCCTCTTCTTCTTATTCTTCTTCTTTGAAGCTCTAGAGATGGAGAAAGAGTGGATCTAGAGATGGGTCTTGAGATGTGCCTCTACTTCCTTCTTTTCTTCTAACCCTAATCTCTAACTTTTTTTAGCGAGAGAAATTAAAATTACAATGTAAAAGTAAAATAATAAAAAGCTTTTTTACAAAATGGGTCACTTTCCTTTATATAAAAGGTCCTTTTCTTAGTCACTAAGTCAGGAATATAGCTCCAAAAATATCTAATCCCGTACTATGTGGTAGGTGGACTTTTGGGCGCGCACGGGAATAAGACAACTCGCTGCCAGCAAAAGTTCGATCGATCAGAGAAAAAGTTCGATCAATCCAACTTTGATTTTCGATCAATCCAACTTTGATCGATCTCACTTTCTACGATCGATCTCACTTAGTAGCTTTTCAGGATCAGCCTCTTTTTGCTCCAATTCAGCATCCTTTTACTCCGGATCATCACTAAGACTTAGTTTGACTCCAAAAAGGCCTTAAGAAACCATTTTTAGCCCATTTTAACATTATCGACCTGAAATAGACAAAAACACAAATAAGTACTAAAATGGAAAAATAAGATAGATAAAGGTCCTATACACTTAAGCTTAAGGGGTTTAAAAGTGCACTTTTCAGCACTCATCACACCCCCAAACTTAAATATTGCTAGTCCCTAGCAATGAACTACGAAATAAAGAAATGAAATGAAAAACTAAACAACTATAACTAGAAAGCAATAAAAGGATAACGCTACTTTCGTAGGGAACACGATTGTACTTAGCACATGCGACAAGCCTTTTAAACCCCTAGGTTACCCCTAGTGGACGAGTGAAGTCTCGTGAGGGTTTCCAAAAATGATACCCACAAACATTAAGCTCATTCTTTCAAAAGAGGTACCAATATTGCAAACAAATATTGGGAGAAAAGTACCTCAAGTATGCAATGTTTCAAACATTTCTAAGCAATTTCCCAAAATCTCAATATCAAGCAAGCAAGTATGGTCCTTCACACATCAAGAAAATGATCATGCAAATCAAAACAACTCTAGAATCCTTTTGAGTGGATCGGCATCAAATATGCTGCAATGTAAGCCAACTAAAGAATTAATCACATCCTTACCCTCAAACTAGCACACAAATCTAGTACCGATCATTAAGACAAAAAGTGGACCTTTTATTAAAGCTTCATTCATCGAGGTGCGCTTATTCATTTCACTCGAATTTTTTTTTTTTTTTTTTTTAGGATTAAAGATGGAAGCATGGTGCAATGCGTTGATCTATTAAGCTTTCTAGTGATTCATGAGGCGTTTAAACATCCCTACGGACTTACAAGCTCAAATCAACTAGGCTACAATTCAAGACAACCTCCATCTAATCATTTCCAACTTCTCACCATTTGGGAAAAGTCCTCACTTTTATTGCTGTTGCTTTTGCTCTTTTTTTTTTTTTTTTTTTTTTTTTTTTTTTTTTTTTTTTTTTTTTTTGTAAGTAAGTTCAATTATTAACCTAAAGTTTGGGCCCTCCACCTTTCGGCGCAAGAAATTCAATTCTTGATGAGGCTAGAATCCCGGTTACTTAGTGAAAAGGGGTTATTATCCACCTTTATCAAGAATGAAAGCTTTCAATGTAATGACTCGGTCATTTGCCTTCCTTTCCTTTTTCCTGAAATTTTACGAATGAATTTTTTTCGTTTAATTTTCCTTTCTGAGCTCTGTTTCGTGTTACTTAGTGTCATCTCGACTGCTCAGAATTGGTTTCTGAGACTCTTTCATGTGAATTGACAACTTCCTTTAAGGACCGAGTCATTTTCACATTTTTCGTTTTTCGATACTATGCGCTATTTCGTCCTTTTCC